ACAACTATCTACTGGGGCTTTGGGGGAAAATAAATAAATATATAAATAAAATCTTTAAAAAATAAATAAATTTAATTGCTTTTGTTTTATTTATAATGAATAGATAGATGGGTAAATGAATTAATGAATGAATTGACTCTTGGATTTAATAAGCTGTTTTGCTTTTTGATCTCAGTAGAATTTTGTTATTTTTAAGTTAAAATGTGTAATTTTAATTCTTCTGTTTTCTTCTACAGCTGGAGTGCCAAACTCTATCTTACACCAAGTAACATTGTTCTCCTTACTGCTATAGCTCTCATCGGTGTCTGTGTTTTCATCTTGGCAATAATTGGCATTTTACATTGGCAAGAAAAGGTTTGTTCATTTAAATGAAACATTAGCTTTGGTTAATTTATAATAGTAATATATTGCTCTTTAAAAAACCATATTTTAAACTTTCTTCACGACTCAGATTTTCTGATTTTTCAAATTCTGTCTATAATGTCATCTTATTGATAATTTCTTTTATCCTCTTAAGTTATTAAAGTCTCTTAGCAATTCATACAAATCATAGGAGAAGACTATTTTAAAACTTTGATGTTGTTCAATAGTAATAATGTGATCACCCAAAAGTTACCAGGTATTGAGAATAACTTAGAAACAATTTCATAATGGCTTTAAAAATAATTTTTTTAAATGAGCCTCTGTTCATCTACTTACAGAGCCATGGACACTTTTTTCCAGGAATAACAGCTTTCTCTTTATAAAGAATTAGAACACAGAGAGGTTAAATGATTTTCTCAAGGTTTAGGTTGGAAGTAACAACTAAAGTAATAAACATCTTTTCCATCTTTTAAGTATTCTTTGCACTAAACTAAACAGATTTCTATTCTGTAGTGTAATACCCTAAATAATAATTAAAAACAAAACTCCAAAAATGTAGATTTTCTATACAATGTTTATGAGAAAAAAAGAAGCTATTACATAAATTTATTAGCAGTTATATATAAATTGAAAAAGCCAACTTGTATTTGTATATGAATATATATTAAGTACATAACTAGCAGGTTCCAACAATGTGCCCCAGAAAAGGCTTCTTTGTATCACAAAAGTGTTTTCTTTTTTTACACGTACTCTCTTTGGATTGTCATGCACATCATAATCATTTTTTGTTAACTAAAATTACCATCTGTTTTATCTTAGCTGTTTTAACTTATGAAAAAGAGAACATGTTAATTGTCCTGATAAATGTTCATAGGTTTGTCCCTCAAAAAAATCACTCCTGTACATATCAAAAATGATAATGTAAAGCTACATATTCAGTTAATTTTAGGATTGCAACTTAAGAGGTGAGATCAAGGGTGATCCTATGTACTTCTGTAGAGAAGTGTCAGAACACAGTCTGAAATATTACACAGCTCTAGACCTATGAAGGAAAGGAAATTAATTTCATTCATTTCTCAAGAGATCTGATTACGGGATAAACGCTGTGGACCTAACAGTAATGCTGCAGTGGCTAACAATTAAACGTTTTATGTACAGATGTGGATTTGACCACATAGACTGCCCCTGCAGCACTGTGGCTCTCCTGTCTCTTCAACCACTTCTCTTTCACCTGCACTGGCTGCTCCTCTCTGCCGTTTCCTACCCAGAGTGTCTTCCCTAGGCCTTCTTCTTTCTACACTTTCTCTGCCAGTTCCATCTAAAATCCTGGCTTCAGGTCTTACCTCAAATGTCTGCAGCCCTCCTCTCTCTCTAAAGGTCTCTTCCCCCATTTCCAGGGACATCTCTACCTGGATCACTTACAAGCACCTTAAACCAGTACAGTCATGTGTCCCTTAATGACGGGGATACATTCTGAGGGATGCGTCATTAGGCGATTTCGCTGTTGTGTGAACATCATAGAGTGTACTTACACAAACCTAGATGGTATAGCCTACTACACACCCAGGCTATATGGTACTAATCTTATGGCACCACCATCATATATGTGGTCCATCATTGACCGAAACGTCATTGTGTGGTGCGTGACTGTACTCTAAAGCTTTGTCTCACTTCTTTCTTACTTATCTACAGGATTTGATCAGTTGCCCTATTGATTCTGCCTCCATAAGAATCTCTGCAGCTGACTCCACTTCTGCATTCCTACTACCAATGCTTTAGTTCAGCTCCTTGTGATGTCCTACCTGATCTCCCTGATTCCATTCTCTTCCCTTTCCACTCCATTTATCACATTGCTGCTGGATTACTCATCAGTAAGTTTAGCCTTAATCATGTCACTCCTCTGCTCAGAAACCTCTGATGACTACCTGCTGCCCAGTAAGTGTCAACTGCCCAGCCTGGCCTTCATGGTCCTTCCATGTGACTCCACCCTGTACCCTTCCAACCTTGTTTCTTACCAGTTGCTTTGACACATGCCCTGCTCCTGCCAGACTTCCCAGGATTTCTCCTCTTCTACCCCCAGCTTGGAATGAATGCCCCTGCCCCCATTTCCATAAAGACTATCTTTTCAAAGCTTTCCCTTTCCCCACCCCAACCTAGAATTAATCTCTCTCTCTGAATATTGGTAACATTTTTCACTTTTTTATCCTGAAACCCACTTATTCAGTATGTTTTGCTTTGTCCTTTCTAGGTTTTAAGTTCCTTGAGAACAAGATACAAATCAGGTTTTTTTAATCCCTCAAAATACCAAACACAGTACTTTGCTGGTAGCAGAGGGTCAATAAATATCTGCTAAATCAATGAGTTAACCCAAAAATAATGTACTTTAATATAATTAGTTTATATTCATTTAGTAACATCAGTGTTAAGAATGGGAAAAATCTAATTGTTGATTCCATCCTTATAGAATCTAAAGTTTACTCCTACTTTCAAATAAATAATAAATGATAACAAAGTAAGGAACATTTCTGGTTGGTTTTTAAATTCAATTTAGTGGATCATTAATTATAAAATAGCTACTGTAAACTACAAAAATATTTCATAAGATTATTGCATAATAAAATCACACCTTATATCTAATTGCTGATGGCTTTTTTTTTTAATCACTTTATATTTCAGAAATGAGTCTTTTCCTGTCATTCTCCTATCATTTATAAACTAGTCTAAAATTCTTTTTCAGAAAGCAGATGATAGAGAAAAACGACAAGAAGCCCATCGGTTTCATTTTGATGCCATGTGACTAGCCTTTACTATTACATAAAGGCAACGGAACAGCTATTCACTTGATTAATTGAAATACTAAATTTGGACTGTAGAAGAAAATAGGAGATTTTGAATATTATTTATAAATGATGCATCTCTTGGTAATTATTGGAAAGTGTTCAAATAAATATGGTCTGAATGTGTCACAAGATCTTTTTTTAAAGCACTTTTTATACAGTAATTTGGGTTCTTTATTCAATTGTGCTGTACATTTTTGTTTCTTTGTGGAATGTGTTGCATGTACTCAGGTGTTTATGTATTTATAATCTTATTAGAATAATGATGATGGGAAAAGACATGTGTAAATAAAAATATTTAAATGAGCAGGTCTTTTGTGTTCCACTTGGTCTTGCTTCTTCTTCTAACGATGCAAATTATACTTTTGTGAATGTGTCACAGTTAAAGTTACTAACTCATCTTCATCATAGCAGGTCAGGGGTCTCTCACTGATGGCATACCAGCCTAGTGACTGAGTCCTCCGGCTTCGGAATTGCAGTCAGACAGACCTGCCTTAAGCTTCTGGTTCCACCACTTACAAGCTGTTTGAACTTAGCTAGCTAATTGCTTACCCTCTGTAAGCCTCTGTTTTCTTGTTTGTAAACAGAGCTAATACTACTACTCACTCGAGTTATTGTAAACATTAAATGGGATGATGTATGTCGAGTGCTTAGCTTGGTGCCTAGCACAGAGTAAGTGCTCAATAAGTGGTAGTTGTCATTATTACTACTTTAGATAATTTTTTTTTACAGAAGTCTACAACTAATTATCAAAGTATATAGACTCAATAGAATTTTATTTTCAGGCATGAGGAAATCATATCCTTTGGAAACCTAAATTCTTGGTGGTTGACATCTTATATAAAGATTTATTACTTGTTCATAACTAAACATTATAGTACCCTCTAAGAATTAATGTGCCCTAAAATCTTTCATTTGAACACTAATCCTTATGTGGTAATGAAGAGCATTTGATTTCTTGAAAGGAAACTACTTTGGATAGCATTTGGAAATACAAATCTTCAATCACATTTCCATTCTCAGAAGCTTGTAGGAGTCTATAATTTACATTCAGACCTCAGTGCAAATTTTTGTGAACTTCACCTCGCCAAAAAGTTACTTTAAGACTTAATCTATGGGCCAGCCCCACGGCTTAGCAGTTAAGTGCGTGCGCTCTGCTACTGGCGGCCCGGGTTCAGATCCCGGGCGTGCACTGACGCACCGCTTCTCCGGCCATGCTGAGGCCACGTTCCACATACAGCAACTAGAAGGATATGCAACTATGACATACAACTATCTACTGGGGCTTTGGGGAAAAAAAGGAGGAGGATTGGCAATAGATGTTAGCTCAGAGCCGGTCTTCCTCAGCAAAAAGAGGAGGATTAGCATGGATGTTGGCTCAGGGCTGATCTTCCTCACCAAAAAAAAAAAGACTTAATCTAAGATCAGGAAAAAAATTTATATAATCAGTGTTAATAATTTTCTAATATGCAAATGGACGTGATAGCTATAAAACACAAAAACTTATCTGAAAACAATTAATTTTGTTCTTCATGTGATTTTGTTTCTTTACAGTTCACTGAGAATGGCATGTGTATAAGTGGTTTACTTTGTGTATCTAAGCATGTTAATATGTCTTCTTAATAAATATTCTGTATTGAAACAAAGTATTTTGGTGAGTCTGTAATTATTTTGGAGCATGAAGACGCCTCAGAGGTTATAAGGTCGAAATCACTTCTCTGGACTGTGAGACAGAGGTAAAGTGACTCACCACTGCCTCCTTGTGAGCGGGGCACGATAGGAGTCTCTGACCTCTGTACTCAGTTCAAGTCACTCAAGAGTTATCCACCCGCACAGCGTGCCAGTTCCACACTGTGCCTAAAGACAGTTAGGCTTAGTATGTATCAGTTGATATAGCATGAGTTTTAAAACTCACTTGGAGTCAGGGTCTTCGAGGAATAGTGCTGTAGGCAAATAAAACGTTAATGACAATTAAAAATACAATCAGTGACATTATACTATGTTTCTGTATCTTGATGCCAACCTCCAGATGCAACATCAGTGTCATTTTTTAAGGGGCAACAGATGAAAAATGTGTCACAACATTGAGAGTCAAATACAAAGACCTTTATATTAATTTTGAATATTTTAGTGGAAAAAGCACAGGACTTTGAGGTCAGACAGATCTGGATTCAGAGCCTCTCTCATTGTGTTACTTTTAGTCACTTTACTTCTTTGAGCTTTGGTTTCTTCCTCTGTAAAAGAAGGACAGTGAGTGATACTTTCCTTAAAGGACTGTTTTGAGTCTTAAATGGCAATATGTACATAGAAGGTGCTTGATAAGTGCTGGTTCTTTTCTTCCCTCCCATTTCCCATTGCAGTGACAAACAATAACTTAACAGTTTCTGACCTTCTTCCACCGATCTATAATCCTCTTTTGGGAAACAAGGAGGACTAATTAAGACGGTAAAAATTACAGTATTTGTAAATACTATAAATACATTGTTAACACCATTTATTTGGACTAGCCTTTTATATTTCTCCATCTACCAGCCAAAAAACTTTATATATTCTCAGAAACTTAATTCCCAAAATAGTTTCTCACTCCTAGAGGGCCTCAAGATTAAAGGTAACAACTTTTAAACATACTTTCCTCACCATCCCACTCTTGGTAAGGAAAGGTAAGGGCCTGTTATGGGCAGAGATACCTCGAGATTCACCCTCAGATTTTACAAATCTGTGAAGAGCATCTCTACTCACGGGCAGTGGTTACTAAACCATCAAAGGGAAAAAGATCTTGGCTTCATAGATAGCTTTTTCACCCAGAGAAATGCTATAGCAAAATGTTTCAAGATATAGGAAAAATAAGATCACTAAGATTACATAATAAATCTTAGATTTCTACAAGGGTCCAGTGGATTGATAATGGTAACTGCAAGAGAAAAATGAGTTTTAGTCCATGTTTTAAAAAATAATTTTCCTTTTGTTCTTTAGAAGACCTCTAAGAAATAATGAAAGTCAGGAAATATTAATCCTTACAAATAGCTAGAACTACTCAAAAAAGAAACTCAAAAACTTCTTAAATTGTGTCCAACAGACCCTGATGGTATCCCGAGGATTAAGCTAGGACACTTAAGGGCTAACTCCTCAGTATAAAGGTGAACTGAAAGTTAACCAGCCCTTGTGATAACTTGCAGCCCGGCCTTACATCACCTGGCTAGTTATCTTTAAAGACTAATAAAATAGATAATAGATTAGGGAGTGCTCTTGATCAACACATGCAGAGAGGAAAGGAAGATTGGGCAGAGAGAAATCGAGTTGTGATCCATTCTCAGTGGAATGCTTCATACAACCCTACGGTGAGTTTTGAGATAGGATGAGCTCTCCTATGTCCTAACCTGTCTCAAGTTAGGGTAAGAAGGCTAGGTCCATATACCCCCACATTAATCAATTATTGGCTACCAGCTGCCGCGAGAGCCTCTATCAAGAAAAAGAAAGCAGCCACAGATAACCAGTATCAGAAATGAAAAAGGAGAGATAACTACAGATAATGTATGTATTAAAACAAAAATAGGAAGACGTTAACAATTTTATACCAATGAATTTGCAAGTTTAGCAAAATAGAGCAATGCTGTTAATGTGGTGTCCAGATCCTCCTTCAAGAATAAAGGATTTATCCTAATTTCTGCGAGTCCCTTCAGTAGTCAGCTGTCAACCCCCTTTGGGGACTGTGTCAACTGAAGAAAGCAGACTCACTCAAGATCACTCTGCTGTTCTTGACATAAAAATCCTAAATGTGTATAAACTAGGTACATAAAGCAAAAACAGACGTGAGGAGAAACAGACACACCCCCACTTTAGGTTGGAAATGTAAACACTCCTTTACAGTGACTGATAGAAAAAGTAGACAGACAATCACAAAGCTTAGAGATGACCTGAAAAACACTATCAATGAACCTAACCTAATGGATATTTATAAAGCACTCCAACCAACAACAGCAAAATACAGAGTCTTCTTAGGTGTAGGTGGAGCATTCACCAAGACAGGTCATATTCTGGACCATAAAACAAACCTCACCAAATTCAAGAGAACAGAAATCATACAAAGATTTTCAGACTAAAATGGAACTAAACTAGAAAGATACCTGGAAAATACCCAAATATTTGGAAATTAATGTACTTTTAAATAACGTTGGGGTCAATGAGCAACTCTCAAAGGGAACTTAAAAATATTTTTAACCAAATAAAAATAAAAATACAACATAAAATTTGTAGGAGACAGAAAGCAGTTTTTAGAGGGAAATTTATAGCATTAAATGCATATATTAACAAAGAAGATCTAAAATCAGTAACCTAAGCATTTACCTTAATCAACTAGAAAAAAAGATCACATTAAATCTAAAGCAAACAAGACAGAAAGAAATGATTAGAGGAGAAATCAATGAAATAAAAAGGTGGTTCTTTGGGGGCCAGCCAGGTGACGCAGCAGTTAAGTGCTCGCGCTCCGCTGCAGCGGCCTGAGGGTTCGGAGGTTCAGATCCCAGGCGTGCACCAACGCACCACTTGTCAGGCCATGCTGTGGAGGCATCCCATATAAAGTAGAGGAAGATGGGCACGGATGTTAGTCCAGGGCCAATCTTCCTCAGCAAAAAGAGGAGGATTGGCATCGATGTAGCTCAGGGCTAATCTTCCTCACAAAAAAAAAAAAAAAAAAAAGGTGGTTCTGTGAAAAAGATCCATAATATAGATATACCTCTAACCAAGCTGACCAGGAAAGAAAAAGAATAGACATAAATAACCAATGTAACAAACGAAAGAGAAGACATCATTACTGATCCGACAGACATTAAAGGGATAATAAGGGAGTACTATGAACAAATCTATGCCCATGAATTCAATAAATTAGATAAAATGGATCAATTCCTTAAAAGATACAAACTACCAAAACTCACCGAAAAATAAATCAATAAACCCTATCTATGTTTAAAAGTTAAATTTTTATCTTAAAAAACAAACGTTCCACCAAAGAAAACTCAATGGAACAGATGGTTTCACTGGCAAATTTTACTAACACTTAAGGAAGAAATAATACATACTCTACACAGTGTCTTGCAGAAAAAGAAGAGGAAGGAATACTTCACAACTCCTTTTATAAGGTCAGTATTTCCCTAATACCAAAACCAGACAGTGACATTACAAGAAAATAAAACTACAGGCCAATATCCCTTATAACATAGATGCAAAAATCCTCAACAAAACATTAGCAAATTGTATCCAGAAAGATATAAAAATATAATATACCAGGATCAAGTGGGTTCCAGCTCAGAATGCA